GATGTTGTACATGCCACGTTTCTTCTCTGAATAACTTTGAGGAAAAATGGGTCGTTCTAGAACAGTTGTTCAGAAGAACAGCGTGCTATGATATGAAACGTTGATTGGGTGGAGGAGGGGAAAGAATATTATAATAAGTGCCAGGAAAATGCATAGGCTGCCGTCGGGGCTAAAATGATCTCTAATGCTTTAAAATCTGAAAGCAAAACCCAGAGAGAGTGGGAAGAAAACAGAAAACTACCATTGGAATGGGATCGAAGAATAGGCCAGGAATGGCGGGGGCGGGGGGGGGGGCAAAAGGACTCCAGCTATGATCAGCTACAGGGTGATCAAAGACGGGTCTGAAGTTACCTGGCCTGGAGTACTGGTGAACAATTAGAAGAACGCTTTGTGTGAAGCTAATCTAGTCGGCAAGAAGGCCCCCGCAAATCCCACTGTTAAAAAACAAAGATGCTGCTGAAGGAGGATAGAATTGCCAAAGAACAACACCGACCGGCCTAAGAGAAAGGGGGAAAACATTTTTGTGGGACTGGATGAAAGTAAGACTGCTCTTTTTTTGGTCAAGGGGGCCGCAGAGGACAGTTTGTCAGACGACCCCCAAACACTGAATTCAAGCCACAGTACACTCTGAAGACAGTGAAGCATGGTGGTGCAAGCATCATGATATGGGGATGTTTCTCTTACTATGGTGTCGGGCCTATTTATCGCATACCAGGGATCATGGATCAGTTTGCATATATCAAAATACTTGGAGGTCATGTTGCCCTATGCTGCAGAGGAGATGCCCTTGAAATGGGTGTTTCAGTAAGACAACGACCCCAAACACACCAGTAAGCAAACAGCATTTTGGTTCCAGACCAACAAAATTAAAGTTATGGAGTGGCCAGCCCAATCCCCGGACCTTAATCCGATAGAAAACTTGTGGGGTGACATCAAAAATGCTGTTTCTGAGGCAAAAGCAAGAAATGCAGAGGAACTGTGGAATGTTGTCAAATCATCCTGGGCTGGAATACCTGTTCACAGGTGCCAGAAGTTGGTTGACTCCATGCAACACAGATGTGAAGCAGTTCTCAGAAACAGTGGTTATACAATTAAAAATATTAGTTTAGCGATTCACAGGAATGCTAAATCCAGTAAAATATTAAATACAGTAAATATTTGAGTTTGTAACAAAAAATGCAGGCACTATTTTTTTGAACAGCCCAATATTCATTTTTCTTCATTTTCTGTAAAGTAATTCAAATATTGATACATTTTTCTTCATGTTTTGATGCAGAATATAATGTGCAGTGTTCCCAACGCATGGAAATAAAAACTATTATAAGGATTTTGAGCTTTACTCTCGTTTTTAAACACACTGCTATTATTTTGGACTGTATATAGAGTGCTTAAGGGGGTTCGTGTTTAATGGTAAGGAAGTGACTGATAAGCATTTGGTCACAGGACCATTTTTGTGAAAGACCTCAACCTTCCATGTATAAATTAGACATAGGACAACAGGTGTGTTTCTGCTTAAAGGATGTACTGAGGGGTATATGAGGGAGAGAATACTCATGCTGTGGCCTACTCTCCATGCTATAATGAAGTGTCTTGATTATCACACCGACTTGCAAGTCAGAAGTAGCAACTCTCAATCTTGGAAGAATTTCCACGACAGAAGTGGCAATAATTCTTTTGCAATTTTCATATTCTCCCAGTTTCACTGCAAAAAATGCCTACAAACATTGCAACATGTATTGCATTTTTTTTTAGAAAAGCTGCTTGAAATCCTCTCTGTGAGAAACAGTAGCCTCAATCCTCAATCTTTTCTGTGACAAACATGAGAGAACCCTTGGTTTAAACCTTTGTTAGGTTTGTCATGTAAATAATGATTGCTTAAACTGTTCAATACAATGATCAATGCACAATTCTGCAGTATGGATCTCAGCCCCTTCAGTTTTATTTTGCCCAATGATTAAGTAACAGAAGTCAGCCACTGGTAGGAAATAGCTGTTTCTCAACATAAAATACAGTCCCCATTTATGATCTTCCTCAGTGTCACAACAGTTGGTCCGCAGTCTTCAGTCTTATATCAATGTGCCTTTCTTTAACGCACATAATTCTTGGGATACAGCTTGAAGAGCTTCTCCTCCTGTGTGGGTTCAAATCCATATTTCTCCAGCTGCTCTTTGCTGAAAGTGCCCTCTTCGAAGTCTTTCCTGATCTGAGGAGCCACAACCTCATCAAACACGCTTTGTGCTGTGAGTGGAGGTTCTGTTCCTCTAGGGCAGCGATATGATACATAGGGTTTGAGTTTAAATCCTTCCAAATTAGGCACCACAAACTCAGGAATCATGGCCCGTATGGTCAGAAACTTTCTGCTTGGGAGCCTCAGTCCAGTGGGCCGTGCGCCCCTGCCTTTATTGTGAGTCCTTGACCCACGCTTGCTGGTAAACTCAGCCATTCTGTCTGCTCCTCTTATCAGACCCCTCATCAGCGTGGATAACACACCCATGGTGCCACTGTGGTCTCTCTTGCCACGACTGAGAAAACCTGTGGAGAATAAGCGATTGTTTACATTTTTTTTTAAATAATAATTGTGTATTTAGAAAGGTAGATTGGGAAACAGACAGACACAAATTACATACTTTCAAGTATGACTGCAGATACATAAGTACAACAAAACTACTGAAATGAGAGAATGCAACTTCATTTTTTTGATCTCATTCCATTTTAATGCAGCATTATATATAAACCCACTCTTCCCAAGTTCAGTGTGAACAAGAGGTACAGCTAACACTAAAATGTCTTGTGACCTGACATAAATGTAACCAACAGCAGAGGTAATCAGGCAGTTTCTACATTAGTGCCTTATAAATAATCATACAATGCTGCTCCCCTCTGTTTTTGTAAGTAGAACCCTCCCACCTTCTCATAAAGGATGAAACCATGAGTGAGAAATGCATTGCCTATGATGAAGGCCAGTGCACTGTGATACACAGTCAAGAGGCTTTAAGGTGGAGGGAGAACCATGCATATACACAATTAGCTCCAAGAATTGTAGATTATAAGATGGTCTTTCAATTAGCAGTAGAGAAATACGATTTGTTGTAGTGCTGGGTGATATACTGACTAGTTTCCCCTATGATATGAATTTGTCATACACAACTGGCTGTGTATTGGCATGAGTCTGGCAATACAATACATATCACAACACGAGGGTTGCTGTAAGTCATTTCTTTCCTGTACAATAGAACATCTGATAAATATCTCTTTGAATACTTGTGTCAGTTTACAGTGCTATTCTAAAATATTTGGCTTTGAAAAGGAAGCAATGTTAAAATTTGTTGGCTTTATATTTCATATTTTTAAGTTCTGTTTTTAATACGTTGCAGTTTGCACAATAAAACACGTTTACATTCTGATTCCTTCATGTATTGGATTAATCTGTGGGGCCAAGAAAGCCCTATAGTAATCAAAGCCTTCCGTGTATTTATATATATGCCATTATAATGTTTCTATATTCTATGTACTCCTGACAGTAGAATAATAAACCTATGAACCTAACCTATATAAAAGGACTTGCCGTGATATACCGTGAAACCGCCAGATTCTTAAAAAAACTACCTTGATACAAATTTTTAGTCAAGCACTCATTTGTTTCTACAAAACTCCAATTAGGACTTCCGTTTAGATGATTGATAGGTGTTCCAGGCTCAAAGATTACCATTAAACAGTTATACAGCAGTTCATTTCTATAACAATGTTTTATATCCTTGTAAATACGACTGGACAAAGTAGAGCAACCAGGCTTAAGGGAGTGCAACGAAACAGTCACCTCATTGTGTAACATGTTAGTCTCCGTTAGTTCTCTTACTGAATCGACGTAAGATGTTAGCACTGCTTATAGTTACAATAACGATGGGTCAAGGTAAGAAAAGCCTGCGTGACGTTTCTAACTTAGGCTAGAGAACACTCGAAACCTAACGTTACTTCCCTTCTGTATACTGCTAGCGCATAAACTAGGTAGCTAACGATAACGAACGAGCCAGCTAATGCTACATCGTCTGTTAGCAAGCAAATTACGAATTTACACTAAAATAATAGATACCGTTAAAATGTTCTAATTTTAAGTTCATAAATTGTTGCAAAATTCGACTCATCTCACCTTGAGCAGTGTGGGTCCAATACGAGCGATGTGCCCGACTTTCCAATGAAATGTGCAGTGATTGGCCGAAAGGAAACACCATCCACCAATTAAAATCCGAGATACTCGCACTGAACTATCAGTGATTGGGGTGCGTCAAGTAAGCCAAAGTATCCTGAAACGCAGACAGTTTACCCTTCAAAATAAATGCATGCAAGGCACATTCCTGTGTGCAAAGCCAGAGTTCTCTGTTAATGTTTAGCTGAACTATGGCTGTACTCTGTATCACTAAAAAGTAAAATGTAGCCATTGTCTATGCCTGCATTACATCTGAGTCTCCGTACGTTTTCGTCAATAAGGCTTTTATTTTGATATGAATGACAGGATATTCTGATTATTTTTATCAACCTGTCTTTATAGCGTTCTGGGGCATGCAGCCGTACACAAAAAACTTTGACACGAGAAGGGTACGTGGGAAAAACAGTTGGTCGCTTCAGTCGGAAAGGGTTAGCTGAAGGTGGATTTGTGCGTTTGTGTTAGTTACACACTCTGTCAGTGCGGACTCGTTCGCTCAGTTTTTCGCTCTTGTTGTGTTGTGTTCTTGTGTAGCTGACTGCAGCCACAGAAGCGGACCCCGCGGACGCAGTCTGTGAGAAGAATGTTTGATCATTTGCTTCTATTGTCAACTACGTTATAGGTAAATATTATAAGTGTGAGTTATTGTGTTTTATTGACTAGGGTTGTAAGAAAATATCTATACTTGAGTATCGCGGTATTTAGTTTTGTGGTATTGTCCTGATTCTCAAAAACACTGTATTGATTTTTGCGTTGAAACCCCCAACAGCTAGATAGCCGTGATGTAAATGTAAACTGACTGACTGGCTATGATTTTTATGTTACAGTGACTGTGACAAATACAAATGCAGATTCCACTGAGATAGCAGGTTATAGTCTTGCATACAGTATAGCAATATATTATATTGAACCGTGACCCCTGTATTGTGATCTTGCCAATATACGGTTTACATATACATATACATACTACATTTAAATCCTGTCAACCAGGGATATGAAACTCCATTATTGACTCTCAATTGAGTCTAAGATCCATTTTCCAATTTGGCATACATAATCCATAGTACACTAATAAAAACATGTATTGGCGTTTGGTACAAAAAGACATACTCAGGATTACTAGTAAATAAGCAAGAGAGGTGAGCCTGATGTATTTGGAGAACAAAATAAACATGGTAGCCTAATCTTTCCCCTTTGGACAACACTTTTGGCATGTTTTTCAGTTCTGTCTGTCTGTCTGTCAGTCTGTTAGTTGAACCCATTGGAGCTTAGCAGTGTATATACCGTAGCAGTGTATCAGTGCAGAAGGGGTGTCTGGTTACCTGCACTGATCTGGTAACGTTAGCTGATCTTTAACCCAGATATCTGAAACCTTTTGCTCTGTGACCCTGTGCTGCTCAGTTTGGTGGAGCAAGGTGTTAATGTTGCTATCTAGGGTTGAGGGTTCGAGTCCTGGGCTTTTTTTATAATGATTACAAAAGCTTAATCAAAATACAGCACCATGATGTTTAAATTCTTTAATTTCAGTCTCAGAGATTGCCTTGTCTTTTTGACCAGTCATGGAAGACAATGAGGAAGAGGAGAACTGCAATATATACCCGGTATGTTGTTCCTCAACACCATTCATTGCACTTCATTGTTAAAAAAAATTAAGGGCGATATTTAGTTTTGTGATATTGTATTGAATTATTATATTAAAATAAAAGACAGATCGTCGCTCCCATCTTTTGCCACTCTGAGCCAGACTTTGTGCACTGCAGTATCAAAGTCCCGCCCATACACCCAGCCGACTCAATCGCAAGCAGGGCTCAGCTATCAATCATGATGTGAAACCCCCTTTTTATAGCTTCAAATAACTAATCAAAACCAAACTTATCAGAAAAATTAACACTTGAACAAACATCGGCGTGATGACATTTATTTGATGTGTACTTTTCACTATTTTTTTTTGTCCCATCTGCTAATATGGAAGCAGCGTGCTTTATGACCTATACTGCAGTCAGCCACCAGAGGGCGATAGAGATATTTTCGATTCACTTTTGGTTAAAACCACAGCTAGATAGCGTCAAATCATAAAAGTTATCTCAGGACACTTTTCAAATAGAGCAGGTCTAGACCATACTCCTTAAAGTTCCATGTCCTTTTCCTTAGGTATTTAGGTACAAGATTATGATGATATAACAGTCGTCATAACACAGATGTGTGCAATACATGACAAACATCCTGCACCGCTTAATGTTTTTAACCCTATTATTCCCATGTTAAAAAAAAAAAAACTAGTTTTGCCCTCATGAAAAGGCTAAAGAAACTGGATCACATTTTCAACTAAATAAACTGCTACACCAATCCTTGTTCTAGCTTTAATTGCTCATACATTTCTTAACAGAGCCCTGTCCCATGTCCAGTTGATTTAATTCCCTCAGTGTTCTTTCTGTGCTTTATATTTCAGAGCCTGGTTCCTCTCGGGAGTGAGATCAGGGCCAGGATGCAGCAGTTTGTGGAGGAAAGGACGGAAGCCAACATGGTAACAACTGACAGGCAATTTCAGATCAAGGGGATGGGACGATAAACAATTTTATTGTGAAAAAACACTTGCATATTAATCGTGGTGGATTTTCAGTATCGTGAATATCCTCACAAGTGACTTGAAAAAGTTGTATGTCTGGCTAATGTGCAGTCTTATATTGGTTTCCTGATTTATTTGGAATCACCAGTCAGCCATTCTGTTCCAGTTTCTGTTGAGTTCCAACACAAGCGCACCTCATTCTACTTAATGAGGTACTGATTAGGTGATCACCTAAACCAAATATTATTTAACAATTATTTAACAAGGAAAAGTATAAAAACCACTGCTGTGGTCATCACTACCCTAGTAGTACCTCAAAAGTAAGAGTGAGGAAAAGAAGGGCTCAATTCTGGCTTTATTGGCAGACAGATAAAGTGAGCGCCAGGTTGTCTACATCCTTAAAATTTCAAAGATGACGGTTCATAAGAACAGGGTCAAGCAGCAGACATTGAGGACGATTCAATTCAATTCAATTCAATTCAATTTTATTTGTATAGCATCAATTCATAACAG